TTTTATGGTTTAATTCATTTTCGTGTTTAAGATTTATCATTAGTGGATGGTATGCGAAATAGAGGGAAAAAAAAGAAAAAGAAGAGAAGGGATTCAAATTTTTGTAGTGTTGAAATTATGGAGTAAAATTCCGGAAAATTGGTGGTTCATTGCGCTTTCAAAAAATGGCTGTGTCTAAGATTCTCTGAGGGGTATTAAGAGGCTCTGAGCGGTTGATGCACCTGTGTAGTTACAGGTGAAGGAGACGAGCAGTTTATGAAAGCGCAGGAAAATGCGGTGAAGTCATGTTATGGTTTAGGATTTGGTGCATATGAAAAGCGTCTCATTTTGGTAGGGGTTCTTTAATTGGAACAACTGGAAAAATATAATGGGGTGCACGTGTCGTTAGTGGAAAATGGTTGTACGAAAATTATATGAAAAGTACTCACTGTTTGGACGTCACCAGCGGATATGATCACTGGAGAAGGGCGTTGGCTGTCTTCCGCGAACAAGACGTACCTGACAATGATTGAATATTTTGCGGATGACTTGTGTCAGAAGTACTCACAGGTGGACGTTGGCAGTCTCTAACAACGGCGTAGGATCTGAATTTCTTGCAATGTACCCCTAGCTACCAATAAAAGAAAGCGAGTTTTGTATGAATAGTATTCAGGAAAACAGCTGTTAAAAATGGATCGAATAAGGGTATCCTTTTAAGCGTAATTTTCAGATGAAGATGTTAAAGAAGGACTTACAGTTCTTTGTTAGAAGTCCTCAATAAAAGACGTAGAATTGAAATTTCATTTAATAAGCGTCCATCTACGGGTGAAAAAAAGAAAAAGTAAGAACGTTTAGTGTAAATATTAAGATATTTATCAAGGCCTTTGTAGTAGACCAAAAAAGAGTACTTACGGTTTTCATGGCAATACTGGCAATTTCAGTTGTCCAAGCTGGTTAAAAGATGAGTGAAAGCGGCTAAAGGTTGAAAATAAAAGACTGATATTATCAGAATGGAAAAGTACTTGTTTTATTAAACTTTACGAGTTCTTCAACAGGAAATGCTGGCATTACGGACAGATTTAATATGATCAATATTTTTATGGGATAAGGAAAGTCCTTACATTTCGAGAGTTGTACACAAGTCTTGATTGCGTTCTGCAAGATGAAAATGTTCCAGATAGATTACATAGCACTTAACGAATTGAGGGGAAGTTAAGTATTTTGTTTGCTTCGAAGTTGAGGCGATAGTTAATACGTTATCTAATCGAAAGATCTTTTGTAGTAATTAGGTCCTTTGGTACCAATTGGCTGAGTGGGAGGCAGCCTGAAACAAGGACCAGTAAATGAATACTGGAATTAAATTTAAGTTTTTTTTGATAATAGTCTGCTCATGTTGCTGAGTCATGGAACGGTCCGAGAAAGGTACATGAAGACAATTTTTGCCAATTGAAATTGTAGTATAGCTTCGATTGGAGAAAATTGCGAGTGCCTTATGGACATGCCATCTAAATTTAATTACGGCGAGGGATAAGACCATGACCTCATGAAAATAATAAGTTCATAACAGGGGCTGCAGTGTAAGGACGGACTCGTAAGAGAATTACATGATCTTATGAAGTGTATTTATCCGATAAAAATTTTAGGGGAAGCAAATTACAATGTTGTCATGATGATTACTTAACAATCATTTGCCGAAGGCTAGGTGAGTAATTGTTTTAGTATAATTACACGTAGGTGATTACTTGAAAAATATGCATTTTCTTTAAAACCGTGAATTGATTTCTTAGTTTGTCACCTAGAAAAAACAACTTGCGGCCATTTTGAAAAACCGCTTACGTAATCGCGTAATCATCACTTCAAGTGCAACCAATCAGCGGAGCATTAATCACTTACGTAATTATACTAAGAAAAAAATATGGGACTCGCTGAAGGAAGGGAAAATAGAGAGGTGGTAAGAAAGGGATGTGGGTTAAAATGGGGAATAAGACTAGAATAAACCATGGATGGGAGGGCAAGGTGACATTGTTCTAAGGTAATTCAGGGGAGTGGTGACTGGGTAGGGTATCATAAGTTAAGGACGGCGCCTACTATTGTTATTGTACATACGTTCTGCGCATCTCGAGAAGCTCGGATTTCCTATGGGTTGTGCTTATTAATACAGGGATATTTTGTGCGGTTTAAAACTATCCGGAGAAAGTAGATCTTTGTGTAAGTACTCTTGGTATCCAAAGAGAAAATTGGGGGTAACCATGCATTTGAGAGATAATTAAGCTTCAATTTGAGAAATTACGCCATACATTGCTTTGTATTTTAAAGCTTTTTACAAATATTATTCATCAATTATGTTTGAAAACACTTGAACAGATCTACATTTTCTGCATAATCATAAACCCGGGCAAAAATACCTTTGAATTAGTAGGCACCGTCCTTAAGTGGATATTTTATTATCAGGTGTCCGCATACCTAAGCTTGTTTGCTTTTCTGTGGCTTTCATTCGCTTGCCTTATGATGGGAGGCATGGACCAAGGCATCGCAATGTAAGGAGTTTTGTCACTTTTCTTTAAAAAAAGATGGAATTTAAAACTAAATTTTAAGCGTGCTTCACCTAAAAAATAGTATTAATATTTCTTCCTTTGAAGTAATTGAAAGGAGTGCGTAATTTAACGAGTGGTCGAAGGTTATTCTAGGATTTGGTTTACTCGAACTCAGAGCGGGTAGGACCAGAATTTTTTTATGTTTGCAAGTCTGGCTGTGGGTGATAGTGAATACGTGAATGAAAGCGGTTGTACACTTTTAAAAGAGAGAAGGTAATAGCATTAAATTTGGAGTCAAAATTTGCATCGAGTCCGATCTTTAAAGAAACGATATGAACCTCGGTTTATTTAAGGAAATTTCACGGTGACTGTAACATCCAAATCATTCGCTCGCTCTCCCCGGCAAGTAGTGTGGAGAGAAGTTGTTTCCTAGGTTTGCACAGCGCAACGACATAATACACGTTTGTTCACTGCGTTTGTTATAGACAAAATTCGCTTTATTCTAGTCAAAATTTGGAAAGCAGTATTTGGGAACGTTCTAACAAGTCCTTTGGTATCCAAGATTTGAGGGCTATTTTTAGAAGATATTCTAGACAACCGAATGCTGCGAAGGCATATAATATAGACTGGAATAACGAAGAAAACCTTGAATCTTCCACCGCAAAATTCACTTAACGAGAGCTAATTCTCAAGAGAAATAAACCAGAAAACAAAAAAATTGCCCCACTTAAATGTGATGACTTTGTGCCCCTCGCACTTGTTTTTGCACGTACATACTTCACCTTTGATCTGGTCCGTCTTTTAATTTGTCTTCTCCGAAGTCGTCCTTGAGCCTGGAACGCAGCTTTATATTCGTCAAGTTCACTTCTTCTTCCAGCAATGATAGGTTCATAAACTTCCTCGGCAAAGGCGAAAGGCTGTATGCCCAAAGGCGAAGCGATGAGTCTCCAAAATTGGGCCTCAATTTATTTCGTTCACGAAGGTCGCTGATTGGCTAGTAGGTGTAAATTCCAATGCTTCATCGAAGTGACAACAAAGTGTGCCACGTTTTACCTCATGTTTGCAACATCTACACGAGGAAAACGTAACCGGTGTGCTTTCGCTGTGAAAGTCAGTGCTATTGTTGCTAATTTGACGTCCCTTGCAAATCTACTCTTCTGAATGCAAATTGCGCGCAATAGGGCGTCGCCCAAATTATTCCATGATTTGTCTGGCAAGGTCAATGCATGATCATAATGGGAAAAATCTGTGTCTACTGTGTCAAATATGTAACGACTACGCAAAAAAAATGCTTTGAAAACACGTGCTGTACGCTTCACGTGCCCGATGAACATTTTGGTAAAAGTCCGTGCAGAAGGCAAGCGTGAAATTATCAAATTCACGAATTTCGTGAAAAACGCTGAGATTTCAGATGAAATGTTTATTTTGTTTTTAAACTACACAACAAGACCTTACATCTGACATTCTCTTTAGTTATGAGTTATGTATTGAAAAAATGAAATAATATGAAAATATGGCAGAAGCATTTTATTTAATTGAAAAAGCAAGGAAAAGTTGACCCACGTTGAGCCTATTCTCGGGTTTTGGTATGTGGCCAATAAGAATGTCATGAACCAGTCACGTGGTCAAAGCCGAGTCTCAGACTTCACAAGCAAGTGGATTTGGGACACGGTAATAGCACGGGGTGGCAGACCGGAATGGATGGCGCAATCTTCTGGCCGGCCTTAAGAGTCCTCATGGGCCCAATGAGGATAAGTAAGTATAAGTAGTAATAATAGCACGGGACAAGTTATTTGTTTGGACACGTCATCCTCTTCGACTCACGGACAACAAAAACAAGCAAGCAAACAACAAGCAAGTTTTGTACCTATGATGCTGTAAACTTCGTCTGAAGAGGTTGGTTACAAACAAAATATATTATACTTATATCATTGACAAGCGTTTGTACACCGTTTGAGAATTCGCGTTTCTGAAGCGAAACTCAGGCATTGAATTTTTTTTTTTTTTTTATCTATTGTCCGAACCCTCCGTATGTTTTGAATAGAATTTCCAAGCCATAGAACGCGGAAAACCGCATTTATAGGCGGGATAAATTTCACGTTACGCCATTGCCGCCATGTTGGCGGACGAAAACAAAAAGATATCTCATCCTTTGTTCGTCCACCATCATTTGTACATTACACCGTCTGTCTCAAGGAATATACATTACACCTCTGTCTCAAGAATGTTGCAAAAAACCTATTAAACTTCTTTAAATGAGTCCATACAGCGAAGAATTTCCATGAAAGCACCCATCTCTTGGAGGAAAAAAAACGTATAAAGTTTTCAAAAAGTGACAATCGTATTTCATGAGCATTCATTTCATCGTAGACTACGAGTAATCCCTCGCCGCCAAGTAACTCGAGCGCGAGGAGAAGATAGGCGCGAGAAAAAAAATGGCTCCTCCTTGAATCCAGATTTCGAGCGGCAATTTTTTTCTCGTGCCTATCATCTTTCTCCTTGAGCTCGACTAAGCGGCAAAAGAGGAACTGCTTGTATTCTACCTTCATCGTCGCTTCTGTTGTCACCCTCGTTGTCATCATAATCACAAGGGGAGATGGGTTGGCAAGTTGTTGAAACATATGCCCTATACCAAACCATGAGTCCCAGCATCTGGGGTGGGGGTGTCGGAGGGGCGCGCACAACGTCAAATTCGGCCGCGGGTTGAGCTTGCTTTTCTTGTCTGCTCTGACAAATTTTCCCCACTACTTTGGGTTTTCCCACTCATGGAACAACCAATATTTGATTTGCTTTAAATGAAAGTTAGAAAGTTCATCGCATTTAGATAATGAGCCCCTCCTTTTCAGAAGAAGAAAGTTTTTAAACCCGCCCCCTTCCCTCCAACCTTGTCCGTCATAACCAAATCAATAAATAATAGACTGCATTAATAGGCCTTTTGCAACAATTAGTGACGTGACTCGGGCTTTATAAATTCCAGGAATGGAAAGACTGTGTTTGACTTAGCCAGAACACACATTTTCAGAGAAATACCACTAAGGTAGAGATCTTATAATCATTTAACCCACACTCGAAATTTCCATACTTTACTTTACGAACGAAAAGCTTTCGTCCTCCACTGGAATTTTCCATAATTAAGCGGCAAAAACAGAGTTAAGATTCCTACTCTTACCAAAGGTCAAATAAGCGAGAATAAATGTGCAAGGGTGGAAATTTTCAGACTGTCAATCAGCGAAGAAAAAATTAAAAGCGATCTGAAAACTTGGGAAAATACAAGGATTTGTATGAACATCATTGAAGCGTGAGTGGAGGGCAAAGCGCCCTTTTCCCACACAAATCCTTATACTTTCTTTCAACTGTAAAAACACCAGTTTAAAACGATAAACTTACGAAAATCGGCGTGGTAGTATATTTTAAGCTGCATCTTTTTGTTTCTGGAAAAATAAATTCATGTACTTAGCAGGCATGCCTATTAATCACGACAGCAACACTTCATGTGGACTGATCCGGTTTATAAACTAATTAGGATAGTACGTGCACTCTCATTGGTCAATAGCCGTGTTAAGATAAGAGTATGGAAACACGGCTGTGACATCAAACTAATTTTGATTGGTTATAAGCCGTCAGACGCGCGTTTTGATTGGCTGGTAGGAAATATGAGTGTGTATCAAGAAAATCGGTTTAAATCAAGAATTTTCGTTCATTTGCTTCCTTCATTTGTCGAATTATCTTTGAGAAATATTTTATAAAAGCAAAGAGGACTTTTTTCCGTGTTTCCATAGCCTCATTTAAACACTCGGGGAAGTTGGGAGAAACACGGAAGACGTCCTCTATTGCTTAAATGGTTTATTCACGTGCTGGAAGTTCGGGTTTGGTTCCCGCAATTGAATAAAAATGTTGCAAATACCTTGTATCATCCAAATCTCCATAGACAGTGATTGCTCTGGTCCAAAACACGAAGAAGGGAACCGTAATTCAAGTCCGGTAATGCGTTTCGCGAAATTAAATAAGCCCCCTCTCAAGGGGGGGTTTAATAGGAGGATTTACGGTAAGTTGGCTGCACAATACAATTCTGCACAATTCTTGCATATAAAAAGACAATTTTCTTTCGAAATTATGGCGTCGCCGAAGCATTTAAATTTGTAACAGACAAAAACAAGGGCATTCTGCGGACAAAACAACAGCGCATGTCAGGCACGTGAGCAGTAAATGAATCGTGAATTTAGCTGATAGTAACAGTGCAACCCAGATAT